TGTCAATAGCAGAAAATATTGCACTGCTGACAGGATCGTCCTGTCAATAGCAGAAAATACTGCACTGCTGACAGGATTTTTCCNGTCAGCAGTGCAAATTATTCTACTATTGACAGGATCGATAAAATTTTCGTATTTTTATTTCGTACTGGAAATTTTGGGGTGGGCGCTGGTTCGTGTAGGTCTTATGTAGATGGTAGAGGTAGAGGCTCCTGGTAGAGGCTAGTCGGGGCGACAGTAAGCGCTAGCCATTACAGCCGGCGCCGCGGGAATCCGTGCAGGCAAACTGGACCCTCTATGGCCGGCCAACTCCTCTGGCCAATGATTTCCCCCTTTGCCGATTTCTACTATTTATTCAGCCTGCAAAGGAGTCTGGTAGAGACTAGGACGAAGGGGTTTGGGTGGATAATGGTAGCGGGCAAATACGGTTTCTCCCGAAATCTATCGCCGGACTCTGGGGCACCCAGGGTTAACCGCCAGGCTTGCTAACAGCAACACGACAACCCGCCCCCCAGTAACACTAACCAGCGTGCCAGGCCCTGCAGCGTGCCTTTGCCGGTACTGTGGGGCCCAGTGGGGCCGGTAAAATTCGGTGGCCAGCTGGATACGCGCGCCAGGGGGCTGTTGTTGTTAGCGAGCCGGCTAGCTGAACCGGCCACACCAGCGGTACTTTCCTGGATTTGTTCCATTTGATTTCGAAGTTGTTGAAAGAATAAATAATGGATAGAGATCAACTTCTTTTTGTCTTTTTTATTGTCTTCATCTTATGTAACCGCCTTCGTATTTCAGACAGCTTATGCATGAAATTCGCCTGTATTTATATTTTGAACATGTCTAGTTTTGACATATATCTGCTGGAGTACTCTGTATTGATAACTGTTAACGTGATGATAGCCGCCATCGTGAAACGCCTAATCTGCAGTACAGTAGCATATGCCTTCTGACTGGTTAAACAAATGAAAACAAAGAAGAAATCATGGCAATAGAGCCCAAAATGGAAGATTTAAAAAATCCTGTCAATAGTGCCAAAAATGGCACTGCTGACAGGACGATCCTGTCAACAGTGTCAAAAATGGCACTGCTGACAGGACGATCCTGTCAGCAATGCAGTATTTCCTCTTATTGACAGGATCGTCCTGTCAGCAGTGCAATATTTTCTGCTATTGACAGGATCGTCCTGTCAGCAGTGCAGTATTTTCTGCTATTGACAGGACGATCCTGTCAGCAGTGCAGTATTTCCTGCTGTTGACAGGACGATCCTGTCAATAGCCTCAGGCAATGGTGAATGTAGGTTTACCTACATGTATACTTAAATGGATTGAATGTTAGTTGTGAAATGATGCACGCAGAAAGATACGGTAGCCCAGATTAAAGGCATCCAATGCAATTTTTAGGGCCTGGAAAACCAATTTTTCAAAGCCAATATTCTGGTCATTTATTTACATAGTGAGTTGAACCACACTGTCCCAATGTATATTGGCCGCCATTGAGCAAAAATTCCCTGCATTCTGACGGAAAATGCTTACTGGAAGTACACTGGGCTGATTTTTAGGGTGCCACCCAGAAAATAAAGGACTCATCTTGGGGCTTGTTTCTGCTGTTTTAAAAGCCCAAAGTATGAAATGCTGACTCAAATGTGCTCATGTGAAGCAGTATGTGTCAATATCACAAAGATTGCCTGATTCAGAATATTTCCAGTTTTGCTGCCCTGAAATCGCATTGGATGCACACATGAAAAGTAGTGTGTTGTACATACCAAACAGCAGCTTTCTTTTTTAGATTCCCGGCCTGACTTTGTCTCCGCTTTGTCATCATCTGATGACGTGACGTTCTTGCCTGTCTCATCCATTTCTCTGTACGTACGTTACGTTACAAAATAGACAGTAACTCGCAATATCACGATGTGTTCAGAAAAAACAACAACTTCCAACTGCAACCTCTGAACTATGATCACTGTGTCGCACTGACTACGTGTCAAAGTGTAAATAAAGTTTCTATTGGAGACCGTCACCTTTGCATGTGTACCTGTCTGTTTGAGATACTACGACCTTTTACTGGTGGCTGTATAAACAAAATGACTACTAGTATTCATTATCACTCTCACCTTTGCACCACTACATACAGGTAGCAAAAATATTTTTTGAACTCAATCACAAGCAATGCAGAACTGCATATGCGTTGCTGACAATGCTATGTAACATGTAACAGCAGGGCAATGATCTTTTCTTGAGAACGAGGGATAGCGTCGAAATCGGTCGAATTTCGTCTCAGCGTTGTCTAAGGCTACACCAAGTAAATTTTATGGATGACGTCCTTTGGAGACCCTATATCTAATGCGAGAGGGCGAAAAAAACAAGAAGGGTCCTAAAAAACAAGATGCCTAGATTAGAAATATACTAAGAGACGACGAATGTTAGGACACAAATTGAATGAGGTGACACAGATTAACAAGCAAGAAGTCTTTTATTCATCATCAAAACAGCAATAAATCAGGTGGAACAGCAGTTGTCGTCCTGTCCTGTTTCTTTCATCACATTTTTGCAGGCCTGCAGAAATAAAGCATGTGCTCTTTACCCATTTCGCGTTACGGGTTTCCCGTCAATCTAACGATTTGCGGCACTGTCGTGACTCTTTGGTCATAGTTACAGGAAGCGGAATTCCTTGTTTTTTTTCTAGGAACAGGCCAAAATCAATGCGCGCGCGGACGTCATCCATAAAATTTACTTGGTGTGGCCTAATCTACGAATGAGCCGTATCATGCTTGGTTCGTAGTGACTTCGTACACATTGCTTTAACTTTCCTAGACGCTGAGTCCTTATCTATTGCATGAGTTAGATTTTCTTAAAACGAATGATGGGACAAGGTGAAGGTCAAGATTGCTTAAAGATATCTTTGTGCACGTGCTATTTGTCTTGGCAGCCATATATAATTGCATGTGTAGCCTTGACAGTGTTGCTCTCACCTTTGGACCATTTCAAGTAGATAAAAACTTCAGCGCCTTTGAGCTGGCGTCATGCAGGGTTTAAACAAGTAGGGACATTCTTCCATCTTACATAAGATTCTGTATCTGTATCTGTATAGCCTGTATAACCGCCTTTCGGCGTAACACACCAGCTTCGCAGGCACGCGGTGCGGCGGCAGCTGGCTATATTACACCGATCGACTTGCTACACCTAACCCTTGAACTTCTAGCTCTAGACTTTGTTTAAAGCTATCTATTGACAATGCCCCTACTGTACTTGGTGACAGTGAGTTCCACTCTGCAATAGTTCTAGGAAAGAATGAAGTCTTGAACACCTCAATCCTTGGTTGATAACTCTAGTACTTGAAGGCATGGCTATTTATTCTCACGATAAACCACATTGCTAACTTAAAGCCTTTTTGTAAGACCCCTTTGACACTAGACGACTATCGCTAGGCGACCGTCGAGCAACCAAAATGGATTTGTGGGACCATATTGATCTTCTTAATGGAATATACTGCACGGTACAAATGTATAATTGAAAAGACAACAAAACACACAAGCTGTAAAAAGCTTTGTCCATGACATTTGCTGAGCGATCTGTCAAATATTTGACCGATCAGAGTTCGCAATCTGCCATGACTACCGTGATCGTGCCGGTATTCATACCTGTTTATTTCCGAGCTATATGTTAGGCCATGTTCATTTGATTATATGGATGACATCCGCGCGCGGAAAAAAAGTTTTCAAGCATACTGTAAATCGTACAAAACAGTTGAAAAAATGAGAAAATATATATCGTAGGTTGAAAAAAAAAACATTGGAAAACGATACCAATGTCGTAGAATGCCAAAATCAAACGAAAAAGACGAAAATGTAAAGAAATAAATTTGAAGACTAGATTATTTGCCAAACTATACTCTGTGTCATTTGTTCAACCTTCGAAACCACGAAGATTGAAATAATGAAAGCAACTTTTTTCGGCCAAACTTCTTTTATTCGCACGCTCGCATCAGTTTTGGGGTTCCCAGAGGATGTCATCCATATAATCAAATCAACATGGCCTAATATATTAACGAATGGCTGGTCGTTCTCTAGGAAAGTACCGCGGCAACTATTGAAGTGGTGCACGGGCATGTCTGTCGGGCAACGGTTACATTACGTCCTAGGCCGTCGTATACGTACGAGTTTGATGTCGCAAAATCTTTATGCAACTGTGACAGACAAAACCAAGTACCGACAAGACAGCCATTTCAGTAACGGTACAGCTGATTTCGCATACGACACACGCATTATTATGCAAAGCATGCCATCAGTTTGCCATCGTGAGACGATCGATATCGTGCGAAGATCGTACGACAATCTGTCGCCTTCAGGGGTGAGGATGGCTAGTCCCTCACCGCCATCTAAATAGTTGGGGAGGCTTTTCCCCAAAGGAAAAAAAACCCTACCCATTAGACGTTTCCCATGTACACAATCTTTCGAACAATTGTCACCCTGTTATGTGCGGACTAACATTGCTACAGCTTTAGCAACCGACCATTATTATTGTTCAGCGAGGGTTCAGCGAAAGCTACTAGTATTCATTCTAATTTGAAACTATCCGGTTTGAAACAAAGAAAAGCTGTCATTATTATATAGGTCGCTACGTCGAAAGAGTCCTGGGAATGTTTTGAGTTTCATTGAAAGCTGGTGAGCATGGTGGCTTCCTCACCTAGGTAACACTTGGGTTATTAGGGGTTGAGAACTACAAACATTGATATCATGTGTTGGGAAACCACAGAAAGAATGGCAGAGGATCATAGCGACGTTTTTGAGAAGGTTAGTGCAAGGATTTCGTGCGATGTTGTAGATTCGTCGTGCATCCGTCGTAGGTTGTCATACGATTTTGATGCCGTGCAATTTTGGAGCAGGCCGTGACAGAACCAACCGTCGACAGCCTTTTCAGCAACAGGACTTGTGCACGACTATCACAAGATAGAATACCTTCCGTTCGCGATCGTACGACAATCGTACGACATATGTGACCAGGACCTTACTGATATGTCTTCTTACCATCGTCTTTATAAAACTTTCAGTCCCTTCTTCACGATTCATAAATTCAAAATTCGCTCTCTCGGATTTGAATCGGGAACATTCATGATTTACATGTATATATATTCAGTACAAGGTAGTCTTTTAACTACAAGGTCTATGACTGGTTCTAGCCTACTAGTGAATTTAGCTTGCAATATGCTAGATATTCTAGTTCTAACGTCACCAATTTTAGAGTAGTCATATAGTACTGTTTACCAACTTGCCATACACTGTATCCGTGCAATAAAGTTGATTGATTGATATCATATTTACAATGTTATAAAATCTTTTTAGCCACGCCGGTTGCTACAGACGCCAGTTTGCGTCCGTTTACCAGTGGAGAATCTGTGGTTCCTCTCCAAAAGTCTCAAACTCCCCACAAGGAAGACACAAGACGACGGAAAGGTCACCTTGAGTGTCCAACACCTGTGCGCCAACCAGAGTGTCGCTTTCAAAGGCGGAGAACAGGTGGACTCAAACCGGTCGTGGTTGGTGGAGAACGTGGCTCCCGCTCTGCCGAGTATGACCGATGCCGTGCACACAGAAAGGCGACACCGCCTCCAAAACGGACGACTTGCGGGGACAAACAGAAAATTCTGCTCTCAAGGAAGCGTTATTTCTCCTCGGGACAGTAGAATGGCGAGGTCCTATTGCTTTTCCAGCAGATCGAGGGGGAGTTTTTCCTCAGTTTCGGGCGAGTGGACTTCAGAGAGGCACCCAGATGACTCCCTGATTTCTGACACCCTTCCATCTATACTGATTTCACCACCGATGTCCAAGGTGAGTGACTACATACTAGTACTAGTATCTGCGTATGTGTGACTAACCTTCTGACAACAGAACTGACAGAACTAAAATACCTTTGTTCATAGAGCAAATATTGTTGAAACCATAGAGACGTTACGTGGAAACATTGTTCTTGGAAACACGATCGCGGCCCTAGTCTCCTGCATAATAGTGATATAACAGTTTTTATAGTACATATCTGAATTGTTTTATTTGTTTTTGTTGTATGAAGGCTCTTACAATGTGCTAACCCTAGCGACTGAACAATATACAGTAAACAGACAAGCGACTAGAAGACAAAAATGAAACAATATAACACTGGAGTGTCCCAGTGATCGAATTCCTTATTTCTTGTATATCAAAATCAACTATTTACATAAACATCCTTATAAAGTCAGACTGCCATTATCTACCGATACACTACATTAAAAAAGGACGATTCATTCACGGACAACTAATTTGAATCGACAAAAAGACATTGTCGTGCAGGCTTATTAAATTGCTGTAATCATCAAACTAGTTAAGATTCTCTTTTAAAAAAAGGTACATTTCGGTTCTGAAAAGTTATTACCCTTGTTAGAAGTGCCCATTACAAAATGATTCTTGTTCAAGTTCAGTTCTATGACATGCATATGGAGACACTGTACATGTACATGTATACAGTATACACGAGATCTGTTCTTAGGAAACCTGTCCACACCTTGTCAATGAATTCGGCAATAAGCACAGTGTATTACTTTTCTGAAGTATTGTTTTTGGGTGGCAGATCTGTGGGTCTGTGTTTATACTTGTCGGTCAGAGCTGGTTGACAGCACGTGGGTGGCGAAAGATCGAAATGTGGAACAAAAGGTCAGACTCAGGAAATGGGGCGAAAATATCAGAATCTGGCTGGAATCAGTGGGGGAATTCAGGAAGCTAAGGATTGCATACTTCCTGGAAGTCTGAATTCTTCTTCATGTTTTTGACGACGTCTCGGGGAGGAGCCTAATGGTACAGTATTGTGTGCAGTTTGCAAGAATTCTAGGAATGGTACAGGCATTTTGTCCACAGGAATGGAATGTCCACAGGCATGTCTCTGACCCACATCTATGCCCACATTCCTGTAAACCCTTGGGAAGACCTCTCTTCCCCGATGGCCCTACTTTCTGTGACCCCGGGGCTGTCTAGACTTAACAGGTACCAAGTGCCATGCAAACAATAACCCTAACAGCAACCACCGTCGCCATGGCAATGTGTTTTCATTGCCAGTCTTGTTAACTGTAGGAGTGTAACTCAACACAGTGTTCCCAATAACATGCTACAGCTATGTGGCCATTTGGTGTCAGTGCGATTCCCGAAGGAAAATTGTTCACCTTTGCCACAGTTCTCAAGTACTTGCCGTCAGGCTTGAACACTTGTAGACGCCCGTCAAGAAAGTTCACCACAATGATGTTTCCCTCTGGGTCTAATGTTATCCCCGATGGACACAGGAACTGTCCCTCACTCGGACCAGTCTCACCAAAGCAAAAGGTCATCTTCCCGTCAAGGTCAAATGCAAAGACTTTGTTAGCATCGCCGTCGGTGACGTAGAACAGGTCACGTGATTCGTCCGCCGCGATGAACCATGGGTCCTGTAACTGCCCCTTGCCAACCTCCCGGATGAGGCCCTTGTCAGGCTGCAGGAGGAAACACGACTTCTCTTGCTTGTCCGACACCACCATGCGGCCGTTCTGCAGAACTGCAACTCCACGTAGCTCTCGAAAACGATCAGAAAACAACCTCTCTACGAGTGCTCCTTTCTGTGAGTACACCCTAACTCCCTGACTTCCCTCGCAAGACGACGCCACAGTGAACCGTCCATTGGAATCAATGTCAATACCGCATGGACGCTCACCAACCAAGTGTGTGCCATGTCGAAGTGACTGACCAGTCTTGGGATCAAACACATGCACACGTTCTCTCTTACCATCCACGACTACAATGTTGCCAGCCGTGTCCACTGCTACATCTACTGGACCAAAATTTTCTCCGCCGGTCCCCCTACTTTGTTTCCCAATGGTTAAGTCTGGAGTGTGGCTGTATTGTACCTTGACGTAAAACGGACGTCCGGCCACAGGCTGACCGTTCACCTTGACCTCTAAAGTATGGTTACCCGGCAACTTTGGCATGTATGAAATTTCCCACAAGCCCCTGCCCTTCTCTTGTAAACTTGTCGGTAAGTCATGACCGAAAGGTTCCTTCAGTGTGACGGTGACGTCATCTTTAGGCACAAAACATAGATGTCCGTTTTTGTCTAATGTTCTTAACAAAGTGAAACTTGAGACGTCTACGACAGCAGGGTTTACTTCAACTGAACATTTGGATACGTCCGCCTTACTTGTGACTTGTACACACCCTGCCTTCTTCATGTTTTCCCTTAACCCTGCCACAGCCGTCCCCTCCGAGAACACGACTTGACTTGGCCGGACTGTCAGGTCGGTTGGAGTTGTCAGCAGCTCTTCCACCCTCTGTCTGGCTTGACCTTCCGCCACAATGACGTGAGCGTCACTGCCGTGTTCCAAAGCTTGTTTACCGAATTCAGACGCGCTCGTCAGTCCTGACAACTCGAACTCTATCGCTTCTTTCTGAGTTTCCAAGCATTTTGTGACCTCCTGACCGCTCGACTCTATGTCATTGATGACTTCAGTTTTTCTGTCTTGAACCAAGGTGATCAGATGATCGAAACAGACCGTGGCCTGTTCAATCGTTGTGTCGGTCGATGTGAGCAACTCCGAAATTTCTTTTCCGGCGTCGTTCACCGCGGCCCGTACCTCTTTCGCCCGATCATCTACCTTTCCGAGCAGTTCTTGAAGGCCCAGTTTCTTCTTTTCAGCGATGTCGCCGATTTCTACGGGCTTGTGTTCATCGTCCAACCGATGGTCGACAACAGCACAGGCGGCACAGACCAAAGTCTGACAGGGTTCACAATAGAAAATTAACACTTGGCCTTCGTGCTTTGGGCAAAACGATTTGCGCTGAAATTCAGTGGCCTTCAGATCCTCTTGGGTCACGATCTGATGCCCTTTCATGGTTGGAAACCTGTTATGTGTGTTTGTACAGGACTCACAAAGCAGAACGGCACACTGTACGCACCATACCCGCGCCCCTCCCTCCTTCCCCTCGCACACCTGGCACGGCACACCTGGCTCCGCCCCTTTCTTCACGGCCGCGAAGTCCAGCAGGTTGTTGACGTAAATATTGGTCCTCAGTCCGTCCACACCTTGGTCTGGTAGAGTGACGTTTCTGCGGCAGGTTGGACACTTCAGTGGCTGTTGTTTAGTAGCCCAAATGTCCAGGCATTCTTTACAAAATGTGTGCAGACATGGCAGTATTCTGGGGTCCCGGAAGCGCAACTTGCAGACGGCACACGTTAGGAGCTGGTCGTCAATGTCTTCCGATTCTTCAATGTTCCCTGCCATGATTACAAATCTAAGGAAAATCTTAATAACGCTTACAGCAAGCCCGTTCTGTTTTACTCTGGTTAACTACGGATGTGAAACTAGGCACAGCAGCCTTCTGGGAAGTATGTTTCGGAAGGTGAGGCCTGACGTCATGTTGTATGGGGTCATCGGTGAACATAAAGGTAGCCTCCTTAGCAGGCTCCACGACTGCGATTTTGGGCATGTCACGTTTCTTTCTGACAGTATCACTTCTATTTGTACCGAGGTTCTTTTGCCGACCCAGCTGTCGCATTATAAAATGATAAAAGGAAACGCCTGCTAAAATGTTAATTTTTGCTCTCTTGTTACAGGGGCATTGTTTTGAGTGAGTGAGTGTGTGTTTGTCGCGTATACCAAGGTATCGTTACACCATATGTGGTTCCAATGGTTAAAAAAAATGAATTTCTTATTTCATCTATTGTGAATTTGTTTATTTTCCCTCCGCCTCTATGCTAACGGCCAACTTCTTGCTAGCTGTCGGCCAGCTTCGGAGACCTTATTTCCTGTGTCTGACCGTTTGAAGGTCTATAGTGAGGTAATGCGGACACAAGCAAACACACACACGTCGCACACACACACACACACACACATACACACAGAGAGAGATAGACACAAGGGATTTAGAGAGACAAATACAAACACGCGAAAAACAATACCTCCGCAGAAGGAGGTAACGAAGGTGGGTGTGTGCGCATTCTTCACCCTTGACCTGACCTACAGCATGACGTAAGCCTTCCGAAACCTTTCTTCCAAGAACACTGCTGCGCCTAGTTTCACATCCCCTACTAATAAGAATATAAAACAGAACGTGGCTTGTTGTAAGCGTTGTTCAGAAGTTCTCGAGGAATCATAGTGGCCGCATCATGGCGGGGAAAATTCAAGAGTTGGACGACGTCATTGACGACCAGTTCCTAACGTGTGCCGTCTGCAAGTTGCACTTCCGGGATCCCAGAATACTGCCATGTCTGCACACATTTTGTAAAGATTGCCTGGAGATTTGGGCTACGAAACAACAGCCGCTGGACTGTCCAACCTGTCGCAGAAACGTCAGTCTACCAGACCAAGGTGTGGACGGACTGAGGACCAACATTTACGTCAACAACCTGCTGGACTTCGCGGCCGTGAAGAAAGGGGCGGAGCCAGGTGTGCCGTGCCAGGTGTGCGAGGGGAAGGAGGGAGGGACGCGGGCATGGTGCGTACAGTGTGCCGTTCTGCTTTGTGAGTCCTGTACAAACACACATAACAGGTTTCCAACCATGAAAGGGCATCAGATCGTGAACCACGAGAATCTAAAGGCCACTGAATTTCAGCGCAAAGCGTTTTGCTCAAAGCACGAAGACCAAGTCTTAACTTTCTACTGTGAACCCTGTCAGACTTTGGTCTGTGCCGCTTGTGCCGTTGTCGACCATCGGTTGGACGATGAACACAAGCCCGTAGAAATCGGCGACATCGCTGAAAAGAAGAAACTAGACCTTCAAGAACTGCTGGGAAAGGTAGATGCTCGAGCTAGCGAGGCACAGACGGTGTTGAACAACGTAGAGAAAGAAATTTCGGAGTTGCCCACATCGATTGACGCAGCGATTGAACAGGCCACGGTCTGTTTCGATCATCTGGTCACCTTACTTCAAGACAGAAAAACAGAAGTCATCAATAACATAGAGTCGGACCGCCAGGAGTTTAAAAAAAGTTTGGAAACTCAGAAAGAAGCGATGGAGTTTGAGTTGTCAGGACTGACGAGCGCGTCTGAATTCTGTAAACAAGCTTTGGAACACGGCAGTGACGCTCACGTCATTGTGGCGGAAGGTCAAGCCAGACAGAGGGTGGAAGAGCTGCTGACAACTCCAACCGACCTGACAGACCGGCCAAGTCAAGTCGTGTTCTCGGAGGGGACGGCTGTGGCAGTGGTAAGGAGAAACATGAAGAAGGCAGGTGGTGTAAAAGTCACAACTAAGGTGGACGTATGCAAATGTTCAGTTGAAGTAAACCCTGCCGTCGTAGACGTCTCAAGTTTCTCTTTCTTAAAAACATTAGACAAAAACGGACATCTTTGTTTTGTGCCTAAAGATGACGTCACCGTCACCCTGCAGGACCCTTTCGGTTATGACTTACCGACAAGGCTGCGAGAGAACTGGAGGGGCTTGTGGGAAATTTCATACATACCCAAGGTCACGTGGTACCATAGTTTAGACGTCAAGGTGAACAGTCAGCCTGTGGCCGGGAGTCCGTTTTACGTCAAAGTACGAAAGGCCATCAGAGCTACTCGCACCACAGCAGCAAGCAAGCCCTTCGCGCCAGTCACCAGCTCTGTGGGCGGACGAAGCACTGCATCAGTTGGAGGCCGGTCCGCCAGACTCGGTCCTAAGACCACCTCAGCTGGCAGCAGCGGCCGAGTGTTTGGTGCAAGCCGGGTTGCAAAGCCAGCCCCAACTGTTGGGTTTAACTCCAGTGCACCCAGCCAACCCTCGTTCCAGTTTGGCTCAGGCTCGCAGCAGCGTCCGGAGGTGTTTAACTTCGCTGCTGCCGTCCCTGAAGGAAGCGCGCCAGGCGAGGGGTTCAAATTCAGCACAGTGACGGGAACACCGGTACCAGCCTCACAGCCCGCTGCTCCAGGTCCTTTCGACTGGTCCTGTCAACACGTACCTGGTCCCAGACGCACCAGCAAAAGATTTAGAGTTAAACACAGGAAGAATTGATCTTCTGACAGGATATAGAGTCTGATTAACTATTACATCAGTATACATAGTGTACTGAACTTATCCAGTTCTACGAAAAAGCAGCGTTGAGCCTCCAGAACTGTTTATCAGTCATTGCAGGCAGAAATTCAGGTCCTTTTGAACTAGTTTATGTTTCAGTGTTGTACTTTCATTCATAATAGGACGGCCAAGCTTCTTTTTCGTGTCAGGACCAAAAGTAGGAGACTTCTGATTGGTTCTCCGGTACGTATCCTGTAAGGTTTAGTCGACGACGTTTCACTATACCGTGGTGACATTTGGTAATGCTTCATGTACTAGTAACTGTAGTGTGTTTCCGCCATTATGTGTTGTAAACTAACGTTACCCGCAGCATCGATCTTTTGTGTATCATTGAGTTTTTCTGGATCATGTCGTATTCATGACCCACGATTTTTACCCGTACAAAAGAATTGTTTCAATACATAAACCATTTGATTGATTGATTGATTGATTGATTGATTGATAATTGATACGTGACTAATGTTATGTAAGTTTTATCAACTTGAGTGCGTCGCCATCGCTGGTTTTTATTTATTTTCATATGTCTTAATAAAACACATGCCTGAAATACTTTTGTCCCGGTTTGTTTTCTTATAGGAGATTTCCAAATTTCATGTGGTGATTGAAGGGCGCTCCACGCCTGGGCGATCGTAACATCCATGTCATGGTCCATGCCCGTAGCCAGGATTTTGAATGGGGGGGGGGGAGTTCTTCCCACTGCTTGAGGGGACCTCGAGCGCCGTAGGCGCGAGGTTCCTAGGGGGTCCGGGGGCATGGTCCCCCGGAAAATTTTGAAAAATAAACCTTCTAAAATGGCATTTCGTGCATTTTTGAGAGGATTTCCAAGAAAAAAATCAGAGATAAATTTTTATTCAATGACAAAGGGAGCAGTTTTTCTACGATTCCTGTCCATCTTTTCAGAAAAATCTTGGACCTTTACATAAAAGTGGACCAAAAAGTGGACCTTTACATAAAAAAGTGGACCAAAAGTGGACCTTTACATAAAAAGTGGACCAAAAAGTTCTTTCGAACCCCCCGACCCCCCCCCCCTGGCTACGGGCATGTGGTCACTACAAGTCTACCCTCAGAGGTACTTGAAATCGGCAAACCGCTCAATTTCGGTACCATCCGAGACCAAAAGAATACTATCAGTTGTTGGGTTTAATTAAATGCATGAACTTTGTCTTGTTGGAAGACAATTTGCACAAAACCTTCTCACCAAAGTGGGAACTTTTTGTCAAAAATTGGTTTGTACCGAGTTTTCACTGAAGACGAACTGTTGATGTCATGAAAGTTCATCTGTGTTGATAGTTACATGATTAAAGTTAAAACTTTTGGTCCAACACAAAAACCGACATCGTCTACCAGATACCTTTGACCCAGTGTTGACGTCACACTTCAAAGAAGCCACATGACAAGTTTCACTGGGTCAGTCTACTGAGGAAGACCAGAGTGACTGGTTGAAAGCTCTAGGTGAGAGAACTTTTTGTGTTGGACCAAAAGTTTTAACTTGAATCACGAACTGTCGATATTGTAAACACAGTCACTTTTCAAGTACAGAGTGTAGACTTGGCTTGCAAAGAAATACTTGACTTGTCGTTTTGATACACACAGGTGGAACTCCTACATGTGAAGGGTACACAGAAGGACCTCTGCTCGAAAAATACCGATTCCACCGCCTCACCTCGTCAGAACAATGTAAGGACTAAGCTGCCCTATCCTGTCATGAAGTCATACAGATTTAAGGAAAAAGGTTGGGAACATGCACTATCATTTTTATAAAAACTCTTATATGATGATGAACAACAACACTTTGTCTTATCCAAAATCGGAGATTTCTAACCCCCTGGAAGTGTTTTTTGCAAACATTGAAACTGTGTTTGTGTGTGTGTGTGGGGGGGGGGTTGTATGATGTAAATATTCAATCTAGTATTACACGCAGCTAACCAATTTCTGAATTCCTCCACGTAACACCCAATTATTCCCTCCCGATGCGTGCTGGGTAACCTCTAGCTTCACTGCCATCAATCAAGTAACCAAATATCCATCCGCTGTCAAATATCTCTGCTGAACAAGCATACATAACGTTACATACAAACCCACCCAAAAATGATATTTTCACTTATGCTACTAGTATGGCCTATGTTGTGATAGCCTATGAGCTGTGAATATGTTGTTCAAAAATTCACTTAAGTAAGACAGCACTGTACCTAAAAGAATTAGTCTAAGAACTTATTCACAAGTTTGTTTGTTTATTTACACCGTCCAGGTAACTCCAAGACAACAAGGGAAAGGGTGGCCGTTCCTTTCAAAGCATTCAACTTCTGTGATGACAAGGCCCTTCCAAGCGTAAGAGTCTGGAGGACTAAAAAGACTGTGGAACTTGCTACAACAATAACACTATTGCCAAAAGGAACTTATTGAAGTGACCAGGCAGTTACAGACAGTAGCCTACGCCTAACATTTTCTTCCCAATGAAGAACGTCAGTATTTTGGTTATTTGTGACCTTGAATTTCATAGACCTGTTTTGCATTTTCTTGAATATATTGTACATGTAATTGTGGAGACGATTGTAAGATGATATGATTTAATCGGGTATTGTAACGCTTTCTGAATTCCTCCACATACCATCAACTTACTCCTACCCAGGACCAACTTTCGCTACTTGGACAGACAAAATGTACATGATTTTTGCACTCAGATTCTTATATTAATAAGGACCTAATTTGTCTCATGCTCGAAACAGATTTTCTTTGGTGCACCACAGATTTAAAAGTAAGATTAGCTACATATAAATATAACTACTTTGTATGAAAGCTAAAGTATGAAAGTATCAAAGATCATTTGTTTGTTTACTAACATCAAATGTATTTCTCCATAAGACGGGGAAACAGTAAACAAAATGTGACCAATATGCAAGTACAGAAATGTACACTGTAATTTGTAGCAATGTATATTTGACTTTGATATACATAAACGTATACACATGTACTAGTACAAAAATGTAGTTGATACTACATACATCAGATTACAAATTTGGGCTTTTGTTAAGCTACTAGTACATGTATATTACATATTCATAGAACTGTAGTACATGCATACATTCATATGCACGAACACAACAAACAATATAAAACTGTACAGATGTAGATATTTTTTTCCTAGAAATATGACTATGGCCATCAATTTACATGTGTAACTTGAAGACAAATGCATTACACACCTACATATCATTATAACAACCTAAGTCTAATTCTAGCTATATCACACATTTATTTTTCATGAATGAATGAATACATCTAGCAGCAGAGCTTGAAACAACCAAAATAACTACAGGATAGACATAACTACTATTTGGGACCAGACTGCTTCTTTAGGTACTTGAAGAGGTTGAAAAGAAAGAAAAAGATACCAGAGGAAGGAAAGCAGGCTTTGTATTACCTCTTGCTTGCACCACCAAGTCTTCCAAAGTCATTTAGAACAAAAATAAGCAATTTATTGTTTGGTATACATGTACTTTTTATTTCAAATGCTCGCATCAGTTTTGGGGTGCTCGGAGGATGTTATCCACATCATTACTTCAGTTTGGCCCAACAAGGTTTGCAGCAGCTGAAGTCATCTAGGCTTGTCCAATCAGTTACTAGCTTCCTCAGTTACACCCTGAAAAGTCCACCAGCAATCAAGTACTGGTATCCATGATCCTCAAGAACTGGTTTCGACATTATACTGAGAAAAAGAAAGAAAAACAGGTTAAATTTATGCAAAGTTCTTGTAATATTGTCGTATATGTACTTGAGTAGGATTAGAGTGAACCCAGTACTCTAGGCAGAGGGTGAATTTTTTAACCTTTAGTACACCAAAGTAGTAAAAATGAGTAACAATGTATATTTGGTTAGAAAATACCCCCTTCTCGTATAAGCCACAGTGATTTACATCATCACCCTTTTGACCTCCAGGAAGAATAGAGTGCAATCTATAAACACTAATAGAGATCTTATCACAGTCAAACCTGTCCAAGCTGGCCACCCAGGGGACCAAAGAAAAGTGGCCACCTTGGACAGGTGGTCTCCTTGAAGAGGGTCGCCTCACAACATGACTGAAGCATAAATGGTTTCCAAGTCAAGATGTTTTAATGTCAAATGCTGTAAGCATCTTCAGTTCTGTGGTGAATGTATGTGGGGAGGGTGGCACATGGAACCATGTACATGTACATGGAACAAAAACATCATCCAGCAGTCAAGGCAAACTGGCTGGTTTCCCCATGACTTCTCATTTATCATCAATAATCAACATGAAGGAAAATGACGTGGTCACCATGGGCCTTGAGCAGACCCAACTCAGAGTGGTCGCGTTGGCCAGGTGGTCACCTTGGACAGGTTGCTTAATGCTTGTGTCAATGGGGAACATTTTTGGGACCGAGAAAAAGTGGTCACCATGGCCAGGTGGCCAGCTTGAAGATGTGGTCACCTTGACCCTTGACAGGTCTGACTGTACATGTAAAACAAACAAACCGTCTGACCTTGTTAAGGATCCAATCTGCATCCTCTACAGCTTTCCTAATGATCTGCTGAATTCTCTCAGGATCAGTCTCGTCTGTATGGCTGTTAAACCCCTAAAATATATGGCACACATCATTTCACATCAACGTCAGAACTCGTCCATTTGTAGATTTGATGTAATCTCCAAGCAGATTCGGTGGGGCAAGGGGACTTTATATTGGCCAGTCCTGTATCCATTGGCCGCCTGTATCCAACATTCGCATTTGATGGTTATGGAAAATGTAACGTACGTTAGAAAATCTATGGTAACGTTACATGTACTATCATTAATTATATGTAATGTTACCTCAGTGTACTGTGCTCCCATACTTATTTCCACATTATGCACATTGTTGACAGAGACAGGAAGTTACATCAATGGTCCCAAAAAAGGTTATCTCATTTCCTGTGTTCAATTTTCTGCGTCTACTATATGCATGTCTGGTGCCTTTGTAACGGTCATGAATAAAAGTACCATCAAACCTCCAAATATTATACCTTATAATATGCAAGTGTGTGGGAAATGTATATAGACAGAATCTGCCAGAAATTCACAATAATTTATTTCTTTATTGACAAATGATAAATGAATACAACAAGAAATTCACAAAAACTGTAAACATTTAACGGAGGTATGAAATCTCCAATTTCTTGTTTCATACTTCAAAGCTTTGTTCTATTTAGTATCAAGACGTTAGCAAATTATGTCATTTTCATCCCCTGCAACTAAAGCTAAGTCACATGCCCCCCTCCCCCTTCCACACACACCTGTCTAACATGGTGTTTGTAGTGATCTTTTGCACCTTCCGGCAGTCTGTCACAACACCTGAACAGGTACCGGTAGAGAAGACGGGGCGTGGTGACGGCAGACTTTGCAATCTGCCCCACAATTGGAACCATTTTAAACCACAAACCAAGTAAAAAGCCAGTCTTGTGGGACAACGCGCGGGCACAGCAGACGACAAGAGCTACATGTAACGTTAGGTCAAAGGTTAGAGGTGTAAACAAATCCACGCGCTTTTGCCAAACATCAACATTCAGCGGCAAAATCTTTTCCCTGGTGTAAAGTATAATTGTTCATTCTCTGTATGCCTGGATTCAGACTTGGTCTTCGTTTCATCCATGTTTAATTTGACGGGAAAGGAGCTTGCGGCTTGGTTCCGCGCGTTCAAAATGGACTATGCCATTATTTTCGGTGAAACATCGTGCAATTTTCCACAAAAGTTGAACCTCTGCTTTATCTTGTGTGTTCCATAAACCAAATATCAACACCTATAGATATGAAATATGCTGTCTGGGAAACGCTCTTTGTTATGTTTTGCTTTTAAACGTCAAATTTTACGGGCCCTCTGAGGACAATGAGGTGATCGGGGCGATCAAAACATATCCCAGCTCACTTTGCGCGTCGCGTCTACTTTTCCTTTATTTAACGCAAGATACGTCAAATTTCCCCTATGTAAGTACGTCTCTTGGTGCAATATCACCAGAAAAATCAATATAAAGCTTCTTTTTTCTTTCCAATTCATATCAATCACGTAATACCTTTCACAACGCTTATAAATTGCAGGGAAAGGTATGGCCAGGGGTGACCACAAATAAGGATTACCCAGAAAATTGGGCTTATAAAAGCGGCGTACACACCTTACGCTTCTCGGATGTGTACAGTAGTTGCTGTTTCCGGTTTGGCATCACCCCGTCCATAGATCGCCCCCTAGTGTGTTTCGGCTGATCTGGCTGGTCTGTTGCCTCCGCCACATCCGCATCTCTTCCACCGGCTCTCCCGACGCCTCGCGCTCGGTCGAGAGTCTACCTCCTCCCCGAGTCAACCCCCTGTGATTGCCGAAAGGGTGAAAAGCGTAGCTGCAGCCCCTGATGTTCTCCACTGCTAGGGTCAGAGAGCGTCGTGTCGAGCGCAGCAAAGTCAAGCGCCAAACACATCCAATACGGCGCTGCCGCGCAGGCAGCCTGCCAATTTTTCACCATTTAATACATTTAATAATTAGTAGTAGTACATGTAAGATATTTTATTGCAAAATAACCTTTTTATTGCCTTCCTTAGGTATTGTATAGGGTGTCTTTGAATGTATATGTTTGGGTGTGTTTACTTGAATTGTGTGTCCGCACTTAACGTGTGTGTGTGAATTACCTAACCACATACCACAAAGGTTAGACACAAGAAGTTACAAGTACATGTAGGTCCCAGAAGCTAGCGCTGTGTAAGGCCAGTAGGAAGTTGGTCAGGAGTGTGTTTTACCAGATGTCAGGGTATAAAAATGCACAGACTTAAACAGCGATTCACAGTAATCATCAACAAGATTACCCAAAACGTTAAACCCCGAAATATTGAACGGAAGTATATCCTCAGTACTGAACAGAATTATACCAGTATTCTCCGATTTCTTATTGAAGCATTGCGCCGATTCTCAATTCACATACACACCACATTTTTGTCAATTGTCTTACGTATACTTTTGTATTTATTTATTGTATATTTTCCTAACAGATATTGTGTTACAGTTGTATGCATTGTTATGTTAATTACCTTCACCACAAGGTTATGTTTTCAGAGGCGTTTTCGTGTGTGTCTGTCTGTAAACACGATAACTTGAAATGGATTGACTTTATATTTGGTAGGTGGGTAGGTCTTGATGAGACCTCGAAATGATTAAATTTTTGGGCCCCCTAGCGGCTTCTTATGGTACTGCAGCTGAACATTGATATATCGTGATCTGGACATGCTAAATTCGGATGATAGGTAGCTCTTGTGACTTAGTCCTCTTAGCCCGTCCTAGAGCACAGGGCTTCAGTGAAAGATCTCCACCTCCCTCGATCCCTTGCGATCTTCTTCACCTCTTGCCACGAGGTGTTGGCTGCTGTTAGGTCCTTCCTGACACCTCTCTTCCAGGACAACCGCGGTCTTCCCCTCTTCCGTCTCCCTTGGGGGTCCCAGTCAAGGGCAGTTCTAGTGATGGATTCTGGGGGTTTTCTTAGCGTGTGTCCTATCCATCTCCATTTACGCCTTCTGATGGTCATCTCCACTCTTTCTTGTCCTGCTATCTCCAGAAGGTCTTGGTTACTGACCTTCCTGGGCCACCAGATCCCGAGTATATAGCGGAGCCTCGCGTTGATGAAGGTCTGGAGTTTCTTGATGTTTGCTTGTGTCAGTCCCCACGTCTCACAGCCATACAACAGGACGTTGGACTCGAAGATTCGCAGTTTAGTTTTCAGAGAGATGTTCCTTGCCTTCCAGACTGGTTTTAGCTGAGCGAACGCTGCCTTAGCTTTTCCTATGCGGGCCTCAATGTCCATTTCAGCCCCGCCACTACTACTGATGACACTTCCTAGGTAGGTAAAGTCTTTCACTATTTCCAGCTCTACCCCTCTGCAGCTCACTGGTTTCGCGTTCCCTATTGTTTTAACGCGCATCGCCTTCGTGGCATTTACTGTCAGTCCCACTCGGCCTGAATTGTCCTCCAGCTTCTGCATCTTCCCTCTCATTTGTCCAATGCTGTAGCTCAAGAGGGCAAGATCGTAAGCGAAGTCCAAGTCATATAGCATGCTCAGCAGTGTCCATTGTATCCCGGTTCTTCCCCCCTCTGTGGTTTCTCTCATAATCCAGTCCAGTGCAGTGATGAACAGCAGGGGGCTTAGGAGGCACCCCTGCCTTCCTCCTGTTGTCATGCTAAAGGGTTCCGATAGGTCACCTTCATGGGACACCTGGGCTTGAAAGTCTGAGTAGAAAACTTTGATCATGTTGATGATCTTGGGAGGAATTCCATAATGAGAGAGGATGCATAAGGTAGCTCTTGTGCTGGGGAAGAAATGGCGTGAGTTTCGGCTCCCTAGCGGCTTGCTCTGGAACTACAGGGGCGTCTGTTTAATAACATTCAAAAGAGGTTAACTCAAGAACCGGTAGACGGATCGTTGTAATTTTTGGTGTGTAGGTTGCTTAAGTGATGTTAACATAACTATGTGACAATTATGCAAATATGGGTGTAATTTGCATGATTCATGAAAAAAATTCTATAAATCTGCTGCATTACATGATGATAGGACTATTCAAGCTTGTGACATATATTGAGAACGAGAGAAACACAGGCAGATATTGATTATGTAAATAGATACTTAATTTTCATAAATAATGAGAAATTGTTATAATTCAATAACAGTAACTGCCTGGAATTTCACACTTGGGGTATTTGAAGCTTATCTGAAGGTGAACATTATTAAACACAACGTATTCAAATAAGGATCTTATTTGCATGATTTATGAGTAAATGCTAGAATGACATTCTTTGTCAAGATTAGACTGTCTTTTGGTGTAGAATATGATCAACTGATATAGTTCATGTAAATAAGGATTCTATTTGCATAGTCAGGGGGGATAATTTATAATTTGTCAGTCACACAGATTAACATCATTTGGCTCAGGTATGGCATCGTGGAACTTTATGCGATCTATACATTACTTCAACTAGACTCTGCCAGGCTTCGGGAGGCGGATGGAAAGAGTAGAACATGCCAGGGGAGTTGGTCCGCTAGAAGAGTACAGTTTGCCGCAAGACTTCAACGCTGATCTATTATTTTACGGACATTTAACTTATTTTTTCTTTAGTATTGCCGTGTCTATCAAGAGATGCACACCACTTGTCCCGTAGTTACCTTACTCCATACCTAAATTCAGAGACAGCAATATACGGCCTCAACTGGCCTAGGGACAGGTGTTTAAGTTTTGCGCAAATATATGTACACGTATTTCATCCCTCAGATGTTTCCAAGAATTTTCAATGAATGTGTCGAGCATTACACTCCAGAGAGTTAGAGAAACACCTTGGACAGGTGGTCTCCTTGAAGAGGGTCATCTCACAACATGACTGAGACATAAATGGTTTCCAAGTCGAGATGTTTTCATGTCAAATGCTGTAAGCATCTTCAGTTCTCTGGGGGAGCAGCAGTCGAGCAGTCCAGCAGTCGAGGCTTCTCCGTGATTTCTGTTTAGTTATCATAAATAATCAACATGATCGAAAATGACGTGGTCATCATTGTCAGGTATCGGGCCTTGAGCGGACCCAAATCACGATGGTCGCGGTCACCTTGGACAGGTCGCTTAATGGGGAAAACATTTGGGATCCAGAAAAAGCGGTCGCCATGGTTAGGTGGCCAGCTTGAAGAGGTAGTAGGAGGGTCTTATTATTACATGGCCTTGGCAGGTTTAACTGTATTACAAAAATGATGTTGTGATCAGGTGTTTTGGTTCTAAACTAATAATACAAGAGATCGGTGGCATGGCAGGATTCGAACCCGGGACCCCTTGGCTCCGAGCCGAGCACTCTGCCGCTACGCCACACGACCCCACTCCAGCAGGTTTCGCTACCGTATGTTAGAATATTCTTTAATGCGATTGTGTCACGAAATGAGCCGGGGTTGATCTCAAGGAACTCCGTTTAATACCAGACTGCTGCCCTAGTACAGGCCACCGGACCTCTCCCTCTCCAGCCTAGACCACCTCTCCTATTGACCCTGTAGCTCCGGTGGCCTACACGGATCGTTACCCGCGCGGTGGAATACTTTTTCTCCTCCCCGTGAACACAGGTGATTCCACCTTGATCTTCTGCGATTTTCCCCGCATCCACCAGGTCTTCTCGGATTAACGTCTGGGTGCTCCCAGTGTCCAGCAACAGAGGGACCTTCTTTCCCTCCACCTGGCCTGCGACGATGAAGGTTGCCTGTTGCCCGGCCTTCCCTCCAGTACTAGTGAAGATGGAGCTAGCCCCAGTGGGTCGCGCCTCCTTAGACACCGGGCAGTCCCTTGCAAAGTGGCTGGGGTCACCGCAGGTGTAACACGTAGCTATCCCACTCGCCGTCCCGAGCTGGGTACGGTTGCGGACAGGTATTGTCTCCTTCTCCTCCTCCTTCTTGCCAAGCTCTCTCTCGTGGGCCTCCAAGTAATGTTGGGCCATCCCGGCCAGTTCGTCCAACGAAGACGGACCCTGCTCCCGAAGACGTACTGCCAGGTCTCGTGGGCATGCCTCCAGAAACTGTTCTTTTACGAACAGATCCCTGAGGCCCTCGTAGCTCTTGGACGATTCCGCTAACTCCACCCACCGCTCAAGGTATACGTAGCTGGTGAGCCTCACGATAAACTGTTGCGGGCTTTCCCCCTCTTCTGCCTTGTTCTGCCGGAATTTGGCCCGAAAGCCTTCTTCCGTAAGATTATATCTTTTTAGCAAGGCCTGTTTTACCGCTGTGTAGCTCCGTGCCTCGTCCTCTGGGAGTCTTGAGTATACTTCGAGGGCTCTACCAGTCAACAGCGCACTTAAATGGGCGGCCCATTTGTCCTCGGCCCATTGGCTGGAGGCCGCAAATATCTCAAACCTTAACAGGTACGCATCCAGGTCATCCTTTTCATCCACAAAGGCTGGCAGCCTCGGTGCCTTTGCCGTGGCCTGCTCCGCTGTCGGCGGTCCCACAGCGGCCATCTCCGCCTCTAACTTCTTCATTTCCAGCTGATGTTTTCTTTCTGCCTCCTTCTCTCGCTCTGCCGCTTCCCTCGCCTTCTCTCTCTCCTCGGATTCCAGCTTCAACTTCTCCATCTCGATCTGTCGTTTCCTCTCCTTCTCTTCATTTTCCACCTTCAGCCTTTCCGCTTCAAACTTCAACTTCTCTATCTCTATCTGTCGCTCTTTGTCCTTCTCTTCAGCCTCTATCTTCAGCCTTTCGGCTTCTAACCTCAGCTTCTCCAGCTCTCTAGCTCTCTTCCGCCCTTCCGCCTCTTTCCCTGGCCTGTTGTTCTCCCACGAACCTCCGTAGCTCCTCACCTGAGAGCCCTAGCTTCTCCCCGGCTTCGAGAAGATCCATTTTTCTCCCACCTTTTTTATTCTGGTTACAACTTATTCCCTTGTTTTGGCCCACAGGCACGTCAGCATGCCCTCAAGGGTGGTTTCAGGTTTTCAAACAAAAACCCGGCTCAGCCTGCAAGTTATGAGTTCCAGATGTTTCCCAGTTCTTGGTTCTACACAAACACTGAGCCTATTTCAGATACACCGTTCCCTATCGTGAGTCCTTCACCTACCGGAGTGTTGCCCTCGGTGAAAGTGATCCACACTTCTGCACACCATATGTCAGGAAATGAGCCGGGGTTGGTCGCAAGGAACTCCGTTTAATACCAGACTGCTGCCCTAGTACAGGCCACCGGACCTCTCTCTCTCCAGCCTCGACCCCGACTGACTGATCCAAGCACCCACGCTCTGCCTTATGGGCCTCCTCAAAACTATTCTATGTATCCCATCACAACCGTATGTTAGAATATTCTTTAATGCGATTGATTGACACATTTAATAAGACCCCTCAGGTGACATTGTGGTTTTCCTCCCCCTTCATTTCAAAGGCCGTGTCTATACGGAATCACCCAAACCGCGATTCGGGTAACTCACATTCCTCACATCTGGTCCACGTGCCACACACACCTGCGAAACCGTGTCCGAACATAATGCGCTTGAGCTACATTTATTGCTGTTTGATGATAACACGCAAGGAGGCGTGTTATTAATGTCAGAGGTCAACGACCTGCTTGCTGATGCCCCCCTCCCAGCGTATCTCGGCCGAATGCCGACGTGGTCCCGCCAGAGGCGGTGAAGCTCGCCCTAGAACGGACACATTATTTGACCATTACTGCTCTTTAAGTTGCTGCCACGTAAAAGTTGGTATTGCATATAAAAAAAAGAAATATCACTCCGTAATCCATGACCAGGCGAAGTCACATTGAAATCACATTGCGTTCAGACGCAAATCGCGATGCGGGGAAACCGATTCGAAACCACCTCTAGAAGTGGCTTGGGATCGAGGCGCTTTCAATGTGATTTCGGAGCGTTCAGATGGAGCCACTTGAAACCGGCTTCGGGGTAAACCACATGTAAACCGCCTTGGGTGATTCCGTTTAGACACGGCCAAAGTGTCTGCTGCTGCCCGTGTCAACAACCAATACGCGTGGAGCACATTTATCACGCACTTATCACGCAAGTGTTGCTCAGGTGACGCCCTAAAGAGAACCACGTGCACTATTCATCAGATCATCTCTCTTTAAATAGAATTACATGTATATTAACTCAACAACACGTACCGGCCCGATAGGCCGACACAGCGCGTACAGTCTGTCTCTTGCATCTGAGAAGGAGGGCCTGCAAGGGGGGGTAGTGATTACGAATTACGCAAAATTTTCGCCGCCTATTACGAATTACGTTAAAGTCTCAGAGCTGATTACGACTTGCGGCTAATGTCCAATTACGGATTACGTTGATTTTTGCGGAGGCTGCCTACGAATTACGAAGTCTAAAACGGCCTGATTACGCCTTACGAAAAAGGGCTTGCAGGCAGAAGGAACGATACGACAGACGTCCACTGTCCGTGTTCCCTCTCCATTCCTGCTGAAGGTTATCATGATCATTGACGCTGCAGCAGAACAGAATCTCGTCGACGGCCATGTGGACCAACGGCTCTGCCCCTCCGTTCGCTCCTGGAAACACGCCACATTTTGAGACATTCGATGGACAGACCTCCTGTCTCCTGTGGCACCTACAGAACAAGACGGTGTTCCAGGGCTACACAGCGGCACAAGAAGCCTGCTCCATGTACGAGAACACCGAGGAGATGGGAACAGCGACCGCCGTCATCTCTTGGCTCTTGGGGCTTCTCATCGTGACCTGCAATGTTGCCGTGATCTTGGGAATCATCCGGACAACACAACTCCACAAGCCGCTGTACATCTACATGGCGAACCTCGCCGTTTCCGACTTGGTAGGAGGCGTTGGACTTCTGTATCGAACAGTAGACCGGATAGAACTCATGAGAATGCACAGTATGATGAATATTGTAACTTTTCTGATGTATAGTCAAGTGGTGTCTGCATCCGCCCTGTCGCTGTTATCTGTGAACTCTTACGTCGCTGTAAGGCATCATGTATTCTTCCACAACCACGCCGCCACTGCCAAACGTGATGCAGGCATAGCTATCGTCTCCTCCTGGCTTGTCCTGTCCTTGTTTGTTTTCTTACCTAGTATGGGTTGGAACTGTCTCGATGTAAACACAACAAACTGCCTGCTGTTTTACCACACGGTATTCGTTGCTCTTGTAGCCACTCTAGCCATAGTGCTGGTCATAAGCATGCTGTTTACGAACATCAGCACGTTTGTAGCGTTGAAACAGCGGCAAAAGAAAAGGTTTGAGGCGCAGCTGCCAAATCAAAGCAATCAGGGACAGAACGGGCAACATCAACCACGCACTATCGCAAACATTGAGGCAGAAAGAAAACACAAGAGAAGTGTGCAGAAGGCGAGAACGGTCCTGATTTACGTGGTGGTGGCCTTCATCTTCTGGCTCTTACCTCTCGTGCTCATCCCGATCTGTCTGACCCGCGAGAACGGCTGTCCGGCTCTAGATGGTCCCCATGCAAGAGCCGCGCTGATAACTGTCAACTCAGCAATCAACCCGATCGCAAGCATCATCCGCACACCGGACTTACGGAGGGGGATCTGGCAAACTGTGGTGGACATCCGCCGGGCACTTGTCACCAGAATACGGGGAAACCCAGCTGCGAATCCACAGGGTCAACAGCAACCTGCACCAGGAGATGCACCAAATATGCCGGGAGGAACCGCACGGGACACCGGTACCGGACCGAACATATCAGCAGGACACAACAACAGTCTTGTCAACATACCAGGACAGATCACCGCAGGACACAGCAACAATCCTGTCAGCATGCCAACAGGACAGCTCACCGAAGGACACAGCAACAGTCCTGTCAGCATGCCAACAGGACAGCTCACCGCAGGACACAGCAACAGTCCTGTCAACATGCCAACAGGACAGCTCACCGCAGGACACAGCAACAGTCCTGTCAACATGCCAGCAGGACAGCCCACAGCAGGGTACAGCAACAGTCCTGCCAACACACCAGCAGGACAGCTCACAGCAGGACACAGCAACATTCCTGCCAACACACCAGTAGGACAGCTCACGGTAGGAAACGGCAACAGTCCTGTCAACATGCCAACAGGACAGCTCACGGTAGGACATAGCAGCAGTCATGTCAACAAGGGTATGGTGGGGACAAAAGTAGCATTCACTAAGGCAAGGAGTAACAGTCTTGCTGTTATAGACATAGACTAGCATTTAGAAAGGACTTCTACAAAGAAAGCCACGAAGGAAATATCTCATCGTGAACAGCGATGGCAAGTACTTAAATCATTTTATATCTATCTTGAAGTTGAGATGTTGTAATCATGCAATATTATCCCAAACTGTATCTAATTATATCTAATTTAATATCTTTTCCAACTTATATCCTGATAAGGCCACAGCAAGTAAATTTTATGGATGACATCCTCCGCAGACTCCAAATCTAATGCGAGCGGGCAAAAAAACAAGGTTACATTTTAAAATTTTGACTCAATCATGCTACAAATGGTTTTGATTCAGTTGGAACATCATATATACACAGCCAGCATCACATATCACTGCATCAAAGTAAGAAACAAAACATTAAATCATAGCCTTTTCTTGTCTCCTCTCTCCATAGTTATCTGCCATCCACCTTCCGGCATGGCAACAGACATCTTTGCCCATTTTCGGCATGGTGACCGCTGTCAGAAGGCAACAAAATTTCTTGTTTTTTCCCGAAATCAGACGAAAATTAATGCGCTCGCTGATGTCATCCATAAAGATTACTTGCGGTGGCCTAAATGTCAAGTGTCAAACTCAAGACTCGGAAAACATATCAGGATTGTCAGGTATTTCTACATCATAACCCAGGTGTTTAAGCTATGTACATATATCTACGTGTATTTCATCCCTCAGATGTTTTCATCAATTTTCAACGAACGTGCCAAACATTACACGCCAGGCAGTTAGAGAAACCTATGATTTGATTGACACATTTAATAAAACCCCTCCGGTGGCTTTTTGCCTTTCCTCGGCCTTCTTTATTTCAAAGTATCTGCTGTTGCCCTTGGCAACAACCAATGAACGTGACAACAACCAATCTCTCTTTGAATAGAATTAGATTCACTTACGTATAACGTAACTGATTACATTTAGCTTAATCATGTGTATTTATATGGCATGATGAGTTTATTAGAGTTTTCGGCTCTAGCAATACATGTCAAAAGTGCCCAATGCCATTATAATTTTCCCCATTGTATTTTATTCGTTCCTAAATACTCAATTCCCCGAAGAAACAACAGCAAGCGAAAATCGTTGCCCGACACTTTGAGACGTTTTGGAGCTCTAAAGATTCACCCCTCCTGCAGCAAAACTGTTCACCAAAGTAGTAATAAAAGGTGTACAAATGCAGGACAAAAATACATCTCACCAAGGACATTCTATGATCTCACCAAGGAGGTTACAGTTCTTGATCTCTTGGATGTCAAAGGTGCCCACGTTGACTTGAGTGATGCATGTAAGACTAAAAGCCACTCCACAGTTTTTATCTTAAATCTTTATTTACGCTCGAGGCAACAGCCAATACATAAAAACAACACTCCACCAAGACAAAGCGTAGCAGCCTTGCTGTTATCGAAGTAGACTAGCATTTCTAAAGGACTACATGTACTATAAAGAAATGAATAGCAAAGTTCTTTTTATCACAACCATTTTCATTTTTCCAAGCCGACGTTTTTGATGACCTTCTGTCATCTTCATCAGGGCAATGAATTGCAATGAATTGTCCTGATGAAGATAACAGAAGGTCATCGAAACGTCGGCTTGAAAAAATAAATGGTTGTGATAAAAAGAACTTTGCTATTCAGTCAATTACCAACCTGATGAAATTATTTACGGATACTATAAAGAAAGTCACGAAGAAAATATCATGAACAACAATTGCAATTGCAATTACTAGTAATTTTTTTAAATCTATTTCAAGTTGGAATGTTGCATAAATGACTACAAGAGAAATGATAATGTGCTGTATATTAGTACGTACTGCGTTCATATCTGATGTACATGTTTGAATGTGTGCATTTTGTGATAAACATTTCAGTACATGAAGATGTTTCATCTTAAACGTCAAAGTAAAGCTCTTGCAAAATCTAATATTCATATATGTATTCTTTTGGTGGTGTCTGTTGCAAATATCGCAGAGATAGCCATGCAAACGGTTTATAGAGTCATAGGATTCTGATGATGAAAGCCCTAAAATGTTCAATAGTACACCACTCACACATTCTGATTAATTGTTCATATCGTATAGTACCTGAAATTCACAAGAAAAGTAAAGCTACTCTCATCTGCCATGCTCTTAATGGTTTGACCCCTTCCTACATCACTGAAATGTTCACCCAACTATCACACGTACACTCTCACAACATGCACCCGGCTGAAGGCACAAGGTGGTCTCCAGTTGCCCAAAGCTAAACTGGAATACAGAAGACGTGCCTTTTCATCATCTAAAAGCAGCCAGAACCCTAGCAGCCTTCAAACAACTTTATGTACTTGACAATCATCGATATAAAAATTCAATGCTAATTTCAATCCTAATTTCATTAATTACCTTCGCCAAAAAGGTTATGTTTTCATATGTTTGTTATGTTTGCCTTTGCTCTTCGTCGATTCTTTTACATGTTTCAAACATTTCTAAATATATCATCTTGAAAGTTCATCTGTGTTGGTTAAACTGTAATTTCCAACACAAGAAATTGGACTCACCCAAATTTTCGACTGTACCATCCCTCAACAGAGACGGGGGGCGCCACAGACTTTCTGCAACCTACGGATCCACTGCTCACGGAGTCACGTGTGTTATCTGCGTGACGTCACGGAAGCGGTGGATTGTTCATTCCTTGACAAAGACTGGAGTTGTACAGTCGAAAATTTGGGTGAGTCCAATTTCTTGTGTTGGAAATTACAGTTTAAACTTACTGCATAATTTCTAAATATAAGAGGAGGTCCATGTCATCACTATTGCAAGGTACTACATTACCACTCTTTCTTGTAGTTCATTAGGAACCTAGTTGTTCTTTCCTTCGCTTCTTCCCAACCAAACACTGGCCGATACCCAAGGTGCTTTCGAGCCCTCTCGTATCGGAAGTAAAACGCAGTGTTATACAGCTGCAGTATGCCCCGAGTAATAGGCGGGCGAAAGGCTAAGACTGGTCTCAAAAGCCACTGGAGCATTTCTAGTAGGAAAGCCAGTCCGTACCACACGCGTAGGGGGATAAGGGTATTGTCATCAATGGTATACCCCATAGGAGAGAGCAGCTCGGCGTGGAAGGAAGAGTAGTCGGTGACGCGCGTGTCGTCGCTCACGAAGTACGTCTGTCCCCCGACCACGTCGGGCTGTTGTCGGATCTCTCTCGCGGCCAGGACGTGAGCCCACGCGGCGTTGCCCACGTACACCGGCCGGACCTTGGGTCCCTTGGCGGAGATGCGAGGCAGTTTGCCGCCGTGGTTGTCGGCGTACCGCCAGTCTGCGAACACTCCTATGGGCCCGCCTTCCCCGTAGATGTACATGGGTCTGAGGACGCAGGTCCGTAGGGTGACGCCAGTCGACAAAACCAGGCCGTTGTGGGAAAGGACCAGGGTTTCTGCTTCGGCCTTAGTACGGCTATAGATGAAACGATGACCTACAAGAGGAAAAGCGATATATAACTAGAGAGGCCGACATTTGCTTGGGAGCAAATACAGCATATTTCAGTCCATCTCCCTCCCACGCAAAAGTGGACTATTCCAAACTTACCCAGTGTAAAACTGGCAAAGATTCTCAAATAAATGAATTATACAGTAGCTATGTAATTGAGAACAAAGATGCAAGAAGATATAATGAATCTTTAATTGCATGTTCATGCCCATGGGGCTAAATGCATGCATCAGAGTGAGATGTTACATGTACATCATACTGAGTAACATGATACATAGGATACAAGGATAACAGAATAACGTAAAGGTCTTAACAACTACTAGAGAATAAACTAATCTAGGCCTTGAAGATTTCTTCTCTCTTTTGAAAGCAATTGGAGATAAATTCACAAAGTTCTTCTATTGTATGGTCATTTGATATAATTAACACTTGTATTAGAACGCATGACAAGAAATCGAAGATTTCAGATCCCCTGGAAATGATTAGGGTTTTCATGAATGTATTTTTACTTTGAGGGGATTGCATGGTGTAAATCAATCTGGTATTACACACAGTTCACTTATATAGCTAAGTTGGGTTGGATGAGAAACAAATTCCAGTGCAAAAGAGAAACCCCGATAAAAAAAGCCTAACAACACGCCAAAAATAACCCCAAACCCAAACCTCTGCTTGGAGAGTACGATTTTGCCGCCGAGGGAGTTTTGCCCCGGAGAGAAGGTTTCGCCCCCCAACAAGTCTGCGAAGGAGGCTACAGTTCACTACTACCTGAATTCCTCCACATATCACCCACTTACTCCCACCCCAACCTTGGCGCTTGCTGGGTTACTTTTAGAGTTGACCTCTCTGTCAATCAACTGTAACCAAATATCTACATACTCTCACGGGAGCCGTCTCTGCTCAAACATACTCACAAACCCACAGACAAATCCACCCAAAACGATACCCAAAAAGACTTATTTAGTAATCCAATACCGACGAAATCTTTAATTGTTAAGTTTCCCTACAAGCATTGTGGTGCCTTTTAATTTTTATACCAACATTTTGAACAATATCAGTATGGATGATGATGATTAAAACTTCAGGATACATTTAACTTATAAAAGGTGGGGTCGTATGCCGTAGCGGCAGAGTGCGCGACTCGGAACCTAGAGGTCCCGGGTTCGAGTCCTGACATGCCACCGATCTTGTGCCCTTGTACACGACTTTCCTCACTTCGCTCAGGTGAACATGAGTATTGTCCTGTCATGTATTGTCCCCTGTGTTGGTGGCGGCATTAATATAAGTTGATAAAACTTGAGTGTGCCGTCACCACGTCTGGTGATTACATGTTGGAATAAAAAAAAAACAATTATCAAAACTCATATAAATCACTGTCAGAAATGTCTTCATACCTGTGTGGCTGTACGGGGTGTTTTCGTGTCCATCTATGATCGGGTCGCCGCTACTGTTGGGTCCAAACACTTCAACGCTGCTGGTGAAGACCAGGAAAGGCACGCCTACTTTTTCACAACACCGCAACAATGTTTCAGTTCCTGAAGAAAAAGTTTCATATATCAGCAAGAAATCCAAGATTCCTGGGAATATTTTGGGTTTTCATGACATTCAAGTTGCCCGCATTTCCTGTGTCTGACCTTTTGACATGTGCCTGTCAATCTTCCAACCCACGTGCTGTCAATCTACTTTATATGGGCAAGTAGACACCCTCACCCATATATTGGTTAAGTGCAGGTCACAACAAAACAAAACTGTACAGATACATTTATGTATTGTCAATGCGATTTTAAGCTTCATTTTCTCATAAGGCCATACCGCCTTAATTTTATGGATGACATCCGCGCGCACATTGATTTTCGCCTGTTCCAAAAAAAAAAAGGTCACGTCCACCGAGGCTCTGGCCTTGCTCTAGGCCTGGGAAGTCCACGATACAGTAGTTAGCGACAATACGGAGCCGGGCACCCAGGCTACCGAAGCTCCACGACTCCAGAACTCAGTACATACGTACAGTGCCGATTCATAAATTCCGCAAAAAGACAGCATATGTGCCGGCTTGTCGTATACGTCTCTTAAGTATTGCCGCAAATTCACAATGCCAGCTTTGTATTCCTGTGGTTTAGTAGCATTTTTAGTTTGGGCCGCATTTTTTTATTCGCACGCGCGCACTAGTTTTGGGGCCTTCAGAGGATGTCATCCATAAAATCAAGTCGATGTGGCCTAAACAAGCAGCCAATTAGCAATATCCCTGTACGCGTTTCTGCTGGATATTATGAAGTTGGGTGCTACAGGTGTCTCCAAACTTACCTGTGACGTTGACGTCCCACATGACCTGGTCAGGGATACCCCCTGTGCAGTCGATGAGGGCGGCGGTGTGGATGATGACGTCAACCCCTCGGCACGCCTCCGTCAGCGCCTGCTCATCCCTGATGTCTCCCACAACGTGCACGATGGGAGGGGCAGTCACGGGGCTTCTTTCTTTATCTGTGATTGGAGAATGATAGACCAATCATGACTGCCCATTACCAGAAACCGTTCAACCAATGATAGCATCATCATGGTACATGTAGACCAGTGATGAGAGCGGTTTTCATGTTCGTCAAGTATTTGCATTTTTATATTTCGCTCCATACCATATATGGATGAAATATATTGTTGTTCCTCGTGTTGATCTTCTTCTCCTACCATGGATTCTTTTTTTTGGGGGGCCTTATGTTATTAACCCGCCCTTCTATGTGGTCGTAGGTTGTTCCAATGCAGCGCCGTATGTACCAAGGACAGAGAAGGGTTCGGTATGCCTGGACAATAAGAGACATTCTTGGCTCCTTGCGACTTTCTATTCTTTAATCAGTTCTCTTATCCTCTCCCAGGAACGTTAGAGAAGACGAATAAAAACAGGAAAAATGTTACGAATCCAAGGAAGAAATGGCATGTGGATACCACACTCGGTCTCTATAGGTCAACGACTCACCTAAGTTGTCGTCTGTGTTTGCCTTGGACACGTCGTAGACTCGTATTTCAGACACGTTAGGCTCTTTCTCCACCAGCATCTGGACGATACGACTCCCAAGAAACCCTCTACCGCCGGTGACTAGGTACACTTGACCGCGGCCTGCCATATCTTTTCCGCTCCTTCTGTATTTTAGGAAATGCCGTATATAGTCAGAATCTATAGCGTATTGATTGTGACTAAGCTAAGAAAGAAAAAGAAAGAAAGAAAAACACACCCAACTTCTGCTTGGAGGGTACCTAGCGCCTTTCCGTCATTAATTTTCAAGTAAGAAACGCTGTATTCGCGAAAAGATTATGAATAACAGTTAGTTCAAGAAACAAAGCTGTTTTAGTATTTCACTAAAGACGAATAACCTGAGAACTTGATAACTGAATACGTTAGCCTCCATAGCATGACAAAAACTTTGTGGTCTTCATGGTCTTTGGGAGCTTTTATGTGCTATTTTCTGATTGCATATAGACAACAAAGCCGGCCTGATTGAATTACCCCCGTTTTTAGAACTGGGCTAATCAAAAAACAGCCAAAGACCACCAAACCCCCAGTTCTATAAGCCTGCTACGGAGGCTATGAATACGATACCAAGGATAGCGGCTGTTCCGAAGATCGCTTGAGCCTTGAGGTGCGACGTCCACGTTTCAGAAACCTGTTGCTCAACTTCGTCCGGAAAAGACGTTGGTGAAATCGACGGACAAAATCACCGTTTAAAACCGATGAAAACAACTCCAAATGTAATCGCTGGGCTTTCCCTATGCTAGCTCCTTTTCTGGAGGAAACTTTTCATAATCTTGTGTTTCGTCAGCAGCCTCAAGGAAATCCTTGACACAATCTTTGTCTGACGCGATGTTCATCCTTGAACATTTCTCCTCGCATAGTATAACCTAATTTGGCAAGTTCAGTCAGCCTAGGTCATCTCTTGATGTTAAGATATTACTTCAGGTATCCTTGAGTTTTCAAATCATTCGGGAATGGCTATTGACAGTGTGATCCTGTCAATAACAGTAAATTCTGCACCATTAAAGGCATTTAATGTGATTTCAGGGCAGCAAATCTGGAAATATTCTGAATAAGGCAATCTTTGTGATATTGACACATACTGCTTCACATTAGCACATTTGTGTAAGTATTTCATACTCTGGGCTTTAAAAACTGCAGAAACAAGCCCCACGATGAGTCCTTTATTTTCTTGGTGGTGCCCTAAAAATCAGCCAAGGGCCCTTTAAACTTCCGGTAACCGTCAGAATTTTGGAAATTTTTGCTCCACGAGGGTCACTATATCTATACATTGGGACAGTGTGTTTTCAACTATGTAACGTTATGCAGATAAATGACTAGAATATTGGCTTTGAAAATCTGGTTTACAGGCCCTAAAAACTGCACTGGATGCTTTTAACAGGTTAATCCTGTCAATAGTTCAGGCATTTTTTCTGTTATTGATATGATGATCCTGTCAATAGTGCAAATTTTTCCACTATTGACACTAGGATGGTAATATCCATAAGCTTGTATCATTTAGCCTGTCAATATTACTGTACAGGCATTTTTTTCTGTTATTGATAAGGTGATCCTGTCAATATTGCAAATTTTCCAATAGATCATCCTGTCAATAAAAAAAAACAGTCGTCCAATGTTGCGCACCGGCCTTGTGTCGTAAAACTACCTTCAGAGGTGATTACGACGTCAACGCAAAACGTTTTCGACCTGCGCGTGCAGGAAAAAACAGCAATCATGGCGGACAATAATGCGGATTGGCGAAGCCCTGCGTTCCGACAGAAAGTTATGGCTCAAATGTAAGTATTCCGATTATTGATATGATTATTAATGTATCTAAAAGGCTGAGGATTGTCGTATGAAAGTTTGTAACGAATATGTTGCTTTATGATGCCATATTTAGAAGACCAAAGTCCAGTGAAGTTTTGAGTATGAGTCTATGTCATTTTCCTTCACAAGACGTCACTGCTAGTTGTAAACAAAAATGTTATTTATAAATTTTCATAAACAAAACGGGAACCTATGTGTGCCAAAGATCACCACAAATGTTGTGCAGGCTTTGGCCAGGGTTACTGTTTACTGCTTGTCGCGTGTACAGAAGGGAAACAATAAATTTATTATTATCTTTCACAGGAATTTATTACTTGTGCTCCGGCCAGACCATGCCTAGATTTTTGTGGCATCCAAATAATTTACGTTTCGACTAGAAATACTCTTTAAGAATCATGCAAATTGGATTGTTCAAGTTGTTATGTATAACAACTTGAACAATCCAATTTGCATGATTGGTAGCGTAGCGTGGAACCAATGAAAATTTATATGACAGTTCCTGAAAATAGTAAATACGATAGGTTTTACTTTTATTCAATGAACAAAGACTTTTGGACAAAAATTACCCTCTTCTGATGTTAGGGAACATTGAATCTTCCAGTTCATGATTTCTGCATGCAGCCAGTTAACAATTTAAATGTTGCCAGTGACATCAGCCAAGGCCATGTTGATTTGATTATATGGATGACATCCGCGCGCACATGAAATTTCTTCCGTTTCAAAAAAGGTTTCAACCATACCGTAAATCGTACAAACCAGTTGAGCAAAATGAGCAAATATATACCGTAAGTTGAAAAAAAAAAAACATTGGAAAAGGATACCAATGTCATAGAATGCCAAAATCAAACAAAAAAGACCAAAGTGTAAATAAATGAATTTGAACACTAGATTATTCGCCAAACCATATTCTGTGTCATTTGTTCAACCTTCAAAACCATGTAGATTTCATCATTAAAGCAACTTTTTTTTCTTGCCAAACTTTTTTCATTCGCACGCTCACATCAGTTTTGGGGTTCCCAGAGGATGTCATCCATATAATCAAATCAACATGGCCTAAGCATGACAGGCAGTTCAGAACCTGGCACCACAACTCGTGAAAAACGTTCTTTCTTTTTCAACTATTTTCAGGAACTGAACTGTTGTATTTCCTTGTCATCGGTTTCATATCCTCTTGAAGGGCCCCGAGAAATGATACCATAAAACAGGTTTAGAGTTAAATTAGACATGAACTTTAAAATTTATAAGTTAGGGGCATTCACCTTTGCAAGCACAGCTTAAAGGCACTCTATGTAGTTTTTTGACAATACAAAAAGTATATTTTTCATTCTTTTCTTTACATAGTACATTGACTTAACCCTTTAGTATTCCAAAATCATACTCCTCAACAAAAAATACAACATCCTTGCTCCTTAGAAGCTTAGAAAACTGTGAATGATCTTCTATACAACCTCTGGCCAAACCGCACATATGGTACATTGTATTGTCCACTGCTAGTGGTTTGACCTACATCCCAGTGGGGTGTCAGTTGATAGCTTACCAGTTTCTGAAATACCTAACCGTTTACCAGATTTTTTAATCTCTTTTGAAGGGATAATGACCACAGTTTATTCATGCCCAACAAAATACTCCAAGTTGATAATTATATTCCACCAGACCTCATGTGAAAGATATGAGTGTTTTTCTAAGGAGGCTACTAGTATATCTTGTCACATGTGCCCCTGTCAATCAAGCCTGGCAAGCCGGTCAATTAGCCACCCTAGGGGGCAACCCCTGTATGTTGTTGTTGTTGTTGTGCTGAGCAAACCGGTGGCACCGGGTACCCAAGAAGGACTGTTTGAACGGACAAAATATACGTAAGAAATGTGAAATAATGACAAAAATGTGTTGAAAAGTGATAGTAACTGTTAATAACACTGAAATTTAGTATAATTAGAATATTCCAAATTTTTGCGCAAAAAACTACATAGAGTGCCTTTAAACCATGAACTAGCTTATATTATAATGATCTGCTTCTCAGCTACATGTGATATAGATATCGTCAATTTCACCTGGTTCCTCTAAGGATGTTATATAATGTTATTGGTTCCTTACATCGTACATACTGTATTGACTTGTCAGTTTGTCCTCTACCCTTATCCACACTTGGCAAAATAAACTGCTTTACTATATGCCAATTCGGCAGTTTGCTATTGCTAAGTGCTTTGTGTTGTTCAATGAATGAGATTATTCCGAAACCTTATTAATATTATCATTTATATCATGTATGAAATGAAAGAGAAAGTGATGAACAAGTGCAAGTGCTAGCCAAGGCCATACCAATTTGATGTCAGGGTTCCCAAGTTTTGGGAGGTAAATAATAATAACAAAAATGAAAGTGGAAAAAAAAACATACAGGCTATGATAAAAGGTTTAAGAGGTTGTACATTTTGATTTTGAGGTGGTAGGTTTTGACTAGGCCATTCTTTTGTTGTTTTTTTGTTGGCTTTTCTTACTAGTCTTAGTGGTCATGATTTCTTTCTTCTGCCTCCCTCTACCACCAGATGAATGTAAAGCTTTCTTTGCTTTGATGCATTCATATGTTTTTAATTTGCTAGACTAGTAGTTGTTGACATTCATAGATAGACAAAGGTAGAGTATGATGTTCAGGAGGAGGGATTTACACATGTATTAGTAGCGCCATCTAGCTGTCTTCTTTAAAAATGCAAGACACAGTACAGCCATAGTACATGCAAGTACATGCAAGGCTTGCTACATGTGATGTGAGTACTAGTAAAATTACTTTGGTGACATGAAACTAAGTCTTTCTCACGTTAAACATTATCACTTTACAACCTCTATGTTGGGCAAAAGCTTACCAAAGCTAAAACAGCTCCAGTCATGCTCCAATCAAGGACACCAAAAAGGAACAAAGGACTTCTTTTCACACAATCATCACTGAGTGATTGGGAGTTCTCACCTGGCCAGAAGGAAGTGAGAACACTGAGAAAGTGTATGACAATGGAGGGTGCAGGGGTGATAATGAATAGTGATGCATACCTAAACCCAATTTTAGGTTCAGGTCCGGATTCAAGTCCAGAGGTTTAGGTTCAGTTCCGGACTTGTAAGTTTGGAACTAAACCCATGGCATATACAAAATTGCATGTTGGCAACCTTGCAATGTTGTCTGGGTGAAACTTTGGCCACATAACATGGAGTTCGGTTCTTGATGATGCCCGATGGCAATGTTTTTTTCATTTTGCAGCAAAGATTTTGCAATCTACGGAATGTTTTAGGTGGTTTGGAAAGAAAAGGGGTATGTGAAATGGTATTCTATGGTAATAAGTCCGGACTCGGTTCTTGACTTTTAGGTTTTTTTTTACTTGAACCTAAACATTCTTACAAGTCCGGATCCAAGTCCAGTGAACCAGTATGCATCACTAATAATGAATAAATGCTCAAAATGAATTGACTATTCAAACTTCTACAATTTATCCCAATTTCTCTAAACTTACAGAAAAAACTATTCTTCTTTTAACTTCCCAAAACCCACAAATTTTGGAAAAGGTGGGACATTACGTCTTCTATGGTTTACAGAAGAGAAGTCAAACCCTTCAGACATAGTTTTAGACATAGTTCTAGTTCTAGACAGCTACCTTTATCATGTAGACTTTAGTTATTTTATACTCTATTTCATTGTTCTTTTATGTTTTGTAATTTGCAATTAGCCTCCGGGCACAAATTTGCAATAAACTTTTCAATAAATAACAATGGACTCCATTCGGATTTGCTAACGTGCAACAATTGAACCTTTTCTTTTCATACCACCTAAAACCTTCCATAGAATATGATAGATTGCAAAATCTGTGCTGCAATATGAAGAAAACATTGCCAGCGGGCATCGTCAAGTATTGGCCTCCATGTTTTGTGGCCAAAGTTTTGCCCAGACAACATTGCAAGGTTGCCAACATGCAATTTTGTATATGCCATGGGTTCAGGGACAGACTTACGAGTCCGGAACTGAACCTAAACCTCAGGACTTGAATCTGGACCTGAACCATTGTGGGTTTAGGTACACAGCACTAGTCATTGTAATTCTTTGACATTAATAACATTATTTTTCCAGTGACGATGCGGTCCGTGCAGCGGGAAATCCGACCTCCAAGAGTAGCATGGAGATGGAGAACCACGTGTTCCAGAAGGCAAAGAGCAGGGTCAGTACAAAATCACTGTCTTCTTTTCTTGGTCTACTATAACTCCTATGTACATTATGATTCATCCAGTGGGTCGGTATCATGCAGTTCTCCAACAGACTGCAAGGTTTCTTGTTTCTTTCGTATAACCGGTAAACCGCCTTTAGGCGTAACACAACGGTTTTGTACATGTACGCACATGTACGTAAGATCGGACTGTAAGGGTTGAACCACTCACACCGGGAAAATCCCCTACTCTTTTTCGATAAGTGCGGTGGGTTCTTTAACGTGCGTGGTGTGTGGCTCCTCCAAACACGGGACCTCCATTTAACGTCCTATCTGAGGGACGTCCCTAGCCGAAGCTAGGTACTCATTTCCACCTAAGTGAAGTGAGGAAAGTCGTATAAAGTGCCTTTCCCAAGGGCACAAGATCGGTGACATGGGCAGGGTTCGAACCCGCGACCTCTGGGGTGTGAGCCGAACGCGCTACCGACTGCGCCACACGACCCCACGTTGTGGTGCATTGCAATAGCATAAATGATGCAGATACATGGGCAAAGAGCAGGGTCAGTACAAAATCACTGTCTTCTTTTCTTGGTCTAGTATAACTCCCATGTACATTATGATTATTCATCCAGTGGGTTGGTATCATGCAGTTCTCCAACAGGCTGCAAGGTGGTGCATTGCAATGGCATAAATGATGCAGATACTAGTACATGGGCAAAGAGCAGGGTCAGTAAAATATCACTCTTCTTTGAGCCTGCTTCTTTTCTTGGTCTAGTATAACTCCCATGTACATTATGATTATTCATCCAGTGGGTTGGTATCATTCAGTTCTCCAACAGACTGCTAGGTGGTGCTATGTCTATATAGCCTCATTGCAATGGCATAAATGATGCAGATACATGGGCAAACAGCAGGGTCAGTACAACATCACTGTCTTCTTTTCTTGGTCTAGTATAACTCCCATGTACATTATGATTCATCCAGTGGGTCGGTATCATGCAATTCTCCAACAGACTGCAAGGTGGTGCTGTGTCTATATAGCTTTATTGCAATGGCATAAATGATGCAGATACATGGGCAAAGAGCAGGGTCAGTAAAACATCACTGTTTTCTATTCTTGGTCTAGTATAACTCCCATGTACATTATAATTCTTTCAGTGGGTCGGTATCATGCAGTTCTCCAACAGGCTGCATGGTGGTGCTGTGTCTATATAGCCTCATGGCAATGGCATAAATGATGCAGATACATGGGCAAAGAGCAGGGTCAGTAAAGTCAAGTATAACTCACATACACAATGTCAATCTTGATTCATCCAGTGCTTTAGATTCATGCAGTTTATCAGCAGGCTGCAAGGGGGTGCTTCTGTACATATATATACCAATTCATTCTTTCCTAGAACTATCGCAGAGTGGAACTCACTGTCACCAAGTACAGTAGGGGCATTGTCAATAGATAGCTTTAAACAATGTCTAGAGCTAGAAGTTCAAGGGTTAGGTGTAACAAGTCGATTGGTGTAATTTAGCCAGCTGCCGCCGCGCAGCGTGCCTGCAAAGCTGGGGTGTAACGCCAGCTATACAGATACAGATACCATGGAATACTAGAAGAATACATGATACAGGTGTACATGCTTTTCAGTATTAGTGGCCTACAGTAGTGTTAATGATTGTCCTCCTCTGTGCAGCATTCAAATATTCAGCAGAATGATTGTAATACTATCCATGTTTTTAGCCTCCAGGTTTCTTAATCCTTAGAATAGATGGATTCGTCTTGTGTACATTTCTAAGAAGCCCAGGTTCTAAGAAGCCCTCTGATCCATTTTAAAACTTAATGGCTCAGACTTGTGATTTAGATTGTGTGATCCACCTTATTTGTAGGCTTGTTTGTAAGTTCCATAACAAAAAGGATCTGGCAATACTATATAGAGGCTTTGAATCAAACTTAAGTTTGAAGAAGGTTTGAGCTAGGTTGGACAGTAATTCGTAAAAGGGCTTTTAAACTCTTTCTTTTTTCTTTCTTTTATACAAGCATCAGTCAGAAATGTGTGATATATGAGAAACAAAGGTCGGCAACAAAACCCACAGGCTCAGTCTTTTTATGGATGGTGTTGTGGGGTTAATCCTAACCATATATGGTGTTTTTTTAGGCTGAATTAGAGATCAGTAGTCTCATGTAAGAAAAATCTATTTTGGTTATTACCTCCGTGTATGGACGTATTGTTTTGGATGTGTGTGTGCATGTGTTTGCTTCTGTGTTCACACAGTTCAGTGATAGACATTTGTGGGAGAATTTTGTAACCACAGACCACAAATAAAAAAGGACAGACACAGGAAATTTGGTCCCAGAAGCTGTCAAGTAGCCAGCAGGATGTTGGTTGTGAGTTTGTTGGCTGGGTGCCAGTGGGAAAATGCATACTTAGATGCAGATAGATAAATTCTCAATAAGGCCACACCAATTTAATTTCTTGGTTAACAGATTTTTCTAGAAAAATAATGGAGCGGGCGGGCGAAAATAATTAAAAATAAAAACAGGCCTAGGCATTGTATTATGGCCCAAAATGATACGATAGGAGCCATGAAGTCAACACACCAGGCTGGTTCAGAATTTAAACAATGAATTTTGAACTTGTAATGATACCACTGCATTGATAGATGGAATAACTGTAAGGAAGAAAAGGACTGTTTTCAACTGTTCAGGGCAAAATATGAGCATTTTGCAGTTGATTCTGAATTTTTTTATTTTTTTTCAAATCTGAAGCGGGCAAATCCGTTAACCAAGAAATTGAATTGGTGTGGCCTAATGAATAAAACAAGAAATGCACAAAAACTGTATATATTTCAGTCATATATGAGAGCTTTGATTTCTTGTTTCTTTGCTTGGCAGTGGCAGCAATTCTTTCAAATTTAAAGTATATCTTGTTTGCCAAACCATTTGTTTTAAAAACCCTGAACACCAATAGGCAACATGTTCATGATATATGATGTCATGATAGAATAACTTTATGATATGAGGGTATTGAAATATTTATGTGTATTATTTTCCAATTTCAAGGACAAAATAGAAGTCATATGGAAATGTGTTCATATTTAATCCATACCCTGTCCCTGGTGCTGAAAACTCATCCAATTCATATTTATGTTTGGTGCTTTATCACTGTTATTTCTGGCTAAGACTAACAAACAATTGCATCTAAGGCCACACCAATTTAATCTGTTGGTTCTCGGATTCGCCTTTTCATTTTTTTCTGATTTGCAAAAAAAAAATTCTGGGTCTGAATCAGCTGAAAAGTGCTCATATTTTGCCCCCAATAGTGTAGTATAGTCCTTTTCTTCCTAGTTGTTACAGTTTTTTCCATCTATCAGTATCAATGCAGTTGTTTGATTAAAAGTTCCAAATTCATTGGTTAGATATAGTAACCCAGCCTTTTGTGGTGACTTCATGGCTTCTATCGTAGCACTTGGGGCTATAATAGGATGCCTAGAACTGTTTTTTTTAAATTTTTTTGCCCTGTAGCTTCGCTATATATTTTCTGAAAAAATCCGAGAATCAACAAATTGAATTGGCGTGGCCTTCACTGCAAACCAAGATTGTATTATTGGATAGAATTTGGTATTACTTGCAAATTGTGACAAAGAAAATAGTAGTGTCCTGGTCTGTTATATACATTGTATAAATTCATGTTGCTAGGTCCAAGGGAAGGATTTCTCCTTGGTGCTGAAAAGACATCCATTGAACATGGATGAAACTGTGCTAAAAAATGGCAGATTTTCTCATCCAGAATGTTTTTTTTTATTTTGCCACCCTGAAATCTGGACACCTTTAAGGCCACACCAATTTGATTTGTTGGTTCTCAGATTCGCCTCTTCATTTTTTTCTGGTTGGAAAAAAAAAGATTCTGCTTCTGAATCAACTAAAAAAATGCTCATATTTTGCCTCCAACACTTGAGGAAAGTCCTTTTCTTTCTAGTTGTTACAGTTTTCCATCTATCAATGCAGTGGTTTGATTGAAAGTTAAAAATTCATTGTAATAGGACGCCTAGACCTGTTTTTATTTTTTATTTTTTTTCGCCCTGTTGCTTCATAATTTTTCCAAAAAAATCTGAGAACCAACAAATTAAATTGGTGGAGCCTAAAGGAAATACACATGAACCAGGTATCTAGCCTGAGTGAGCCCCCTGTTCTATATGTCACCTGTAGTGATGCATACTGGTTCACTGGACTTGGATCCGGACTTGTAAGAATGTTTAGGTTCAAGTCCAAAAAAACCTAAAGTCAAGAACCGAGTCCGGACTTATTACCATAAAAGACCATTTCACATACCCCTTTTCTTTCCAAACCACCTAAAACCTTCCACAGATTGCAAAATCTTTGCTGCAAAATGAAGAAAACATTGCCATCAGGCATCGTCAAGTGTCGGCCTCCATGTTATGTGTCCAAAGTTTCACCCAGACAACATTGTAAGGTTGCCAACATGCAATTTTGTATATGCCATGGTTATAGGTCCGGACTTACAAGTCCGGACCTGAACCTAAACCGCCGGACTTGAATCCGGACCTGAACCTAAAATTGGGTTTAGGTATGCATCACTAGTCACCTGTTGAGCATATCTCCCCAGTCCCACCTCTGATCTTATGTTTCACCTGAAACCCCAGTCTAGCGGCGGAATGGCAACTCTGCAATATTCATACGACATTTTCCCACTTATTGGAAAATAATTTATTTCTGCGTTCCCGTCTCCCCGTTGACGTCGCCGGAATTTCCGTGGAAAGGGCAGGGTAAGACCTTTCACAGTCCAGTAGAAATTCCCGCCTCGATTCCTGAGCCGTCCAGATTACATTATGTACCCCCACAAAAGACCAAACACTGGTAACAGTATGGCATATTGTAGAAAAGTCATTCTGTGCATGTATCATCAAGAAAGTCTACTTAAAGATTAAATATACCACTGTTCAATATTGTTAAGAGTTCTCATAAATTTTTTATCAATTATTGTGAATTTCTTGCATTTTTGCCTCCT